CTAGGTGATTGGGGATCAAAAAGATATGCAGTACCTGAGTTGGATCAACTACCAAGAAGTGTGGGTGGGAGAAATAAGGCAAAAAGTCCATGGTCATAGATGGGAGGAAAGAAAGTGGAGGCAGAGTGTGAGGTAATCAAGTAGCAGGGAGAGGCAGAGAGTAGATAATGACAGGGGGTAAAGAAAGAGGAGGAAGAGCATGAGCTGATCCACAACAGAAAAGTGAAAGAGAGAAATTGACCGTGGAGGGAGGTAAATGGGACAGAGTAGGCTCTGATTATAGATAAGGGATCATAATCGGATAATGATGGCATGGACCTATGCGACGTTGGTGGAGGGGGGGCATCTAGGAGAATATGAGTGTATCTGGGAGGGGAGATTTGTGTTTTTGTTTTGTATAGGGTGAGGAAAGTTAGAGCGTTATCAGAATTTTATTGTTGTATGTTATCCCATTGGGGAGGTTTTAACCCACACAACCCATCCAAGTGACGTTCCCTATTTTATCCAAATTTTAAAGGTTTGGGTTTAAGTGGAATCCTTGTCAGTTTTGTGTATCATAACAATCAAAAGATTTCTCGTAGAGCACGGGAAATGGCCAGTTTAAGAGAATTGTCATGTAATATCAATAACTAAAGGGACAAGTACATCTGAATATTTAACATCATGATAACATTTGGTCTAGAAGCTTTTTTTTATTTGGGAAGAAGACTTTGATGTTCTCTCTCATAGCTGGACTATCAAGCCACATACTGTACTATATTGGAGAATTGTTAGAATGTTGAGGAATGCGTTTGTACGTGTTTATGTATTCTACTTGTGTCTATCTTATTGTTCAGGCACAGCTTATCCATGACAGGAATACAGCATCCCATTCAGCGGTGGTGGACAAATCAAGTGCTGCTACACCAGAAAAAGTTCAAATGACATGGACTAAAGAAAAACTTAATGCTGAAAAACATAAAATTAAAGACCTTAATGCAGCGGGCTATAGGGACCTATTTAATATGAAACCGTAAGTAATGATGAAAGTAATATTTATTTATGAATTTATTTTAGGATATGTTTAAAGTAAAGTCCTGTGACAGGACCTAATGGTGGCAATAGTTGTTTTAGGTTATTGTTTTTACAATAAAATCATAACTGTTTTTTTCACTGCTGAATAATGTTATTCAAATTTAGTTAACCATAGTCAGGTAAGTTAAAAGCTAAATGCTGTTATTGGTTGTCGTGGGTTATTACAGTTTGCAAATTACAGCTTTCAGTTGATAGACTTATTAAATAAGCCTGCAAGTAATTTATGGACTAAAGGATCAATATCTTGTGCAAAAAAACAACATAAACCGGTAATATCAAATGAAGATATATTTGATTTTTTTTTTTTTTAAAGCCTTTTGCAAGAAAAAAAAATGTAAAGCCCAACTTTGTATGTTCAAGCACCTCACCCCATACGTTGAAAATGTCAAGTATACAAGGGACTTCCATAATGTCCAGGGTCCTCTTCTCCTGGCTTTTATGATGATGGGAGGTCTTTATTGATGTACAGAACAGTGCTCACTTTTTCTTGTGAGTTCCAGCTCTTATGGACACACCATCCTTGGTTATTACACAGGCTGAGCTCACATGGAAATTCCACAGAGCCTACATGTCACAGGGTTAGCACAATTCTCTGCAGCATGTTTTACCATCATGTAATGATGATTAATTTATGCAAAGGGCAGCATTTCACCTGGCATACCAGGAAACAGGATAGAGCAAATTGTCTGCGGGGCAGGGGACGGCAGGGGGTGAGTATTGCTGCATTTTTTTTATACTACAGATCTTAGGAAAGGATATATGTATGTTTTAAAGGTGGAGGTAAGTTATAAGACAGGAGGAGAGAACCCTTTAGTGCCTATGGTTGCTTAATAAACATTTGTCTGCGGATAACGCACAGATTTTTTTTCCCCCCATGTTGTTGGAGCTAAGGATGTAGCTGTCATCACTATTAACCCCTTAGTGACCGAGGCCTGTTTTTTTGTACACATGTCATAATCCACAATTTAGGCCGTAAAATTACTTCAAACCCCCACACATATATTTTCTGAAAGCCCCTGTAGATAAAATGGTGACAGTTGCAAATTTTGCAAATTTTGATGTTGCACGATATTAACACAACATTTTAGCAAACCCCAAAATGTTTTAGAAAATGCCCTTAAATTTTCCTGGTTCAGCTTTGTACTATGATGATAGTACTGTACTATGATGATACTGGTTTCTTCTCCAACTAGCAGGCCAGAGAGGTGATGCTAGAGGCTTCAAGGTTGAACCAAGAAATGGCACACCTCTACGCCTGTGCGGTATTTAAAAAAAAAAAATGCAAATCTCAAGAGTAGTTGAATTCAAATACAAATAATTTCACAGGTGAAACAAAATTATGTATATGCATTTTAATTGTGCATTCTACTGCTTGCCTTTAAAGAGGAACTGATATCTAAAAGCGTTGCCCAAAAAAAGGTAGGGAAAGACCAAATGACTAGCCACTAGTAGGGATGAGGTAAGGTTCAAACCTGAGCTCCTCTGAACAAGGAAGTGCCATGCCATAAGCACTTCCACCCAATCAGCTGCGGGATGTGAATTCCCTGCCCCAAAGCTGCATGTAAACAAAGGGGTGGGGTGCTTGTGCTGTCATCATTTACCTTTATATGACCAAATAACTATTTTTGGTAAATGTATTTTCCCAAATATATAGGCATGTAGAAATAAAAGGTCAATGATTTCAATATATCCTGCCCCTTTGCTTATGTCAAGCTGCAGGTGGGAAATTCTAATGCTAATTGGGCAGGATGGAAGGGGCTTCCTTCCGTGTTTGGGAGGAAGTCCTACTGGGTCTGAACCTGAGCTTGTCACTAGCATTGTCTGTGGTTCCTCTGCAGCTGGTCTTTCCTCCATTACTTGACTTATAATGCCTTTTTAAGGCTGTCTATGCAGCCTTATGGTAGCGCTAGCCCTGCATAGACATCCCATGAAGCAGCACTCCAAAGCTAATAGCTTTGGAGTGCTGTTATACAACACTGTAGAGCACACATGCAGAGAGTAGACACAGAGAAGCATAGCAGATGCAGTTCACACAGAGTATAGCATACCCAAAATACATTACATAGAGACTAAAAAAAAACAATGTGGCAGAACACTTGAAAGCTATTTAATACACACAGGACCAATGTATGCCTACTAAGGAACACTTAATTATGACAATATGTTACAGTAAAATAGTTCACACTCTTGCAATATTAAAGCAATACTAAACTCAGAAATTATCATAAAAATAACTTATATTGTATAAATAATGACTGTGTGTACTTTTTTTGTCATTGTTCAGCTTTAAATGCTCCAAAATCCATTTTTATTTTTCTCCAGTTACAACTTCCTGCCAGAGGGTGGTTACTTTTTGTCTCCATGGTCCCCATGGGAGCTGAAAAGTAGCCATCCTCTGTGCTCGTTCATGTGAAGGACTACAACATGCTGAGAGCTTGTCTTCTCAGTTTCTGCTCACCATTCCTCCCCTCCTAGACTGGGATTTCTTCAGCTCTCCCACACTAATATATGCTCTTTGATTTCTCTCCGCCTGGCTTACCAAACTTTCTGACAAGGTTCAACATGTGAGCTGTCACCAGGCTCATACTGTCTTCCGAGTCTCAGCTCACATGCTGAATCTTGTCACACAGTCACAGAGGATACGGCTCCTGCATTTGAAATAAAGTTGTTTTTCTGTGTAGATTGTTGTAAACTTGATGTTTGTTTTAGATTTGTTGTAAAGCGGTTTTAAGTTGTTTTGATAATTCAAAGCATTTCAGAGGAGATTACAAGGAATTAAGCTGTCAGTTTGTTTAGTGAAGAGGAGGAGGGGGAGGTGGCAGCTTTGTGCAGTGAGAGATGATTCCTCTCTAGCTCATGGGAGTTGTAGGCAAAGAAAGATGTGCACGTGACCAGAATCGAGGTGCATGGCTCTTACTAAGGGACAGGAAGTGTGAGGGGAGAGAAGAGCAACGGAAGCAAGCACAGCAGACTTTCTAAAGGAATTGAAATAGTAAGACTTTATTTTAAAACATAAATGTGGCTTTGGAGAATGTTCATTGTGTAGATGTGTATAAGGAGAAAAAAAGCTGAGGGTTTTGTGTCACTTTAATCCCTTGTATAGATAAGCCATATGTGTTTTTATATTATGGGGAAATGCCACAGGAGGTGCTAGGGCACCCAAAACTCCCAGTAAGTAGACAGATTTCACGTTGGGTCCATCAACAAATCTACAAAGTGTCAGGGGCTGAACCAGGCTCCACATCTAATATAACTTTTGGACAGATTGATCGACCTAATGTTTAACACCTTACACTTTATATTGAACAATCCTCCATTTTTTTCCTCCAAGAAAGTGGTCACTCGCCTTTTTTCCAGACTGAACACAGTTTTTATTATATGTTAGATTTTCCACTGGATTTATTGATTTAGTTGCTTGCGTTTGAACAGACTTTAAAATGTCATTTTTAGTGTGGTGCCTGAAACTGGCAATACTGTTCAAGAATTACATTTTTTAAATCTTTTTATACATCCTAATATTTTGTTCACTTTTGCATCTGCTGCTTGATATAGAATGGTGCTGCTTAGCTTTTAGTAACCAGTATTCAAAAATAAGATATATAGTATAATGGGTTTTTTTTATCAATCAATATTTAAGCATAAACCTGTCATGATGGAAATATGGGAGCTTCCTTTGCAAAGTACTTTCTGGAAACACTAGTTGTTGTCATACACGGGTAAAAATGAGAACCTACATCTGAATATTGCCAGTAAACATTGTAAACCTTATTTCTCTTCTTTTTTTTTTTTTTTTAATTGCTTTCAGGGAATGGGAGAGCCTGTAAGTTAAACCACAGATTGCGTTTAATCAACAGTAGTTGAGTGTTTCATTTAGATAACAGATTTTCTGTACACATGCATTTTCTTGTGCACATTGGTAAGCACTAGTAGCATTTACTGTGCACTGAAAATGTATGGTTTGGTTAATTGTGCTGCATACATTAGGAAGATTGTGGGCAAATAGTAATGTTTACTGTCATTATTACACTGATGCAGAAACCAGTCGAATGTTAGGAGAATGCACACTGCTGTGAAGCTGAATGAAGTGGTAGTTAATCGATCTCAGCATGCTCAGCTGGTTTTACTGAATATGCCTGGACCACCTAAGAGTAAACATGGAGATGAAAACTGTATCCTTTCGTTTATACTAATAAAGACTTGCTGTTTAACTTATTGATTCATTTTTTCCTCCATCCAATGTACTTAGCTATATATTCCATGCCTCATTTTTCTGCTTTTTCTCTTCATGCCCTCATTTAGCACACTGCAGGCTTGTTGTGCATGTGCAGCACTGTTGTCCCTTGGGTGTATTTTTTTGTGAATAGCTAAAAGTTGATTTGCAGGCACAAAAGCTTTTCTCTAAATATATTCCTCAATATACACCAAAAATATAAATCCACTTTGTGTGCACCAAATACCTTTTGAAAACCCAGATATTACCTTGTAAAGGTAGCAATGACATCATCGCTGTGCTGAAGATAACCCGTGCAGAGCAGTAGGAGGGACCCAACAGGTCTGTAAGAATAGCCATGCCTTTTGCATTAAGACAGTATTTGCTTTTCCTGGAATTCAGCTTTAAAGAGTTTTGCATCGTGATGATCTGTTAGGATGAGTAATGATAAAGTTAACCATCTTAAAATAGGACTGGTTTGTTTTGGTAAAGTGGAGATGCACTTTAAGATATGTTAGAATGTCTGCAAATAGCCTGTCAGCACAACTATAGGTAACAAAACTTGATTGGCAATCACATAGTTAAAGATGCTTTATATGCATGCACTGGTACTTTGCTAGTAGAAGTCAGTAACCTTTAGGCCTTGGAAACAGCTGGGTGTACATGGTGCTATAGGATGAAACAGCCACATATTCAAGGGATAGCCAAGGATCATTGGTTTTTGTTCACTCCTCGGTCACTCTGTTTTGGGCCCTTTTTGTGTCACTTTAGGTTTGTGTGCCATTTTTCAACGTTCTGCTACCAACTTGGTGAGGGCTGGCAATATTTATATCATAGGTACCCTTTTTTTCCCCCATGCTGTATTCTGGGTGGGCAATATTTCTGGTGCACACTTACAGGAAGTGGGTGGGACTTTTTGGCGTGCTGCACAGCAGCTCCATTGCATCTTCTCTGATGCTCAGCGCTGCCTAGTCCACATTGCCTCTACACTGCAGAGAGACACAAGTTTGTTTTTGGGGTTTTTTTTCCTCTTTCAGCATCTACCTACTACTCATTGCCTTGGGGAGTGTACAGCAAGGCAACCTTGTGCCTCTCCAAGGGCCAAAAATTGCCCTTTTCTGCTACACCAAGGGCCCAGGTGCAGAGCTTGCAATTGAGCTCTTGTTTGCAGGGACGCTCTTAAAGAACACAACCTGCAAACTGGACTTAATCTCTGCTTGCATTATGTGCAGCCCAAGTTTAATGGCGCCGGGGCTGAGCCACACTATGATGCTTGCAGGTCGTCCCCTGATCTCTCCAGTGTGAACAAGCTTTTCAGATTCCCAACTGCTGCCTTTCGATTTAGAAGGCTCCACAAGGATCACAAGGGTTGAAGAAAGCAACCCTTCCTCCCTGATTTGCTTTTCAGAGCATGTGGGTGTTTGGTAGCCTGCACAGAGCAGGTGCACTGGGTTACATTCGAAGGGTTCTCGGTGTAAAATCCCTTTCCCCAGTTCATTGGGGGGGTAACGAGCTTAAATCTTCTAAGTTTGGGGTATAGCTGCCTCTAGAAGGTTGGACAGGTCACTGCTGGGAGAGAGAATAGTGTGAGAAAAGCTGCCAAGAATCCAACTACATCTCGACCAGAGTGCCTTTGTTACAAAGTTTAATGTTGTATTGCTACACAGTGCCTGCAGCTACAGAGATCCAGAAGGGCTTGTTTAAAAGCTCATTTACTGCCAGAAAGTACATAGCCAGGACGCAGGTCTACGTAAGTCCAAGTAATTGTCATGCACTGAAAGATATATAATATCACAAAATATAAAGCATAACCTGAATAGTCTTGTGCAAAATACGATGATGAATAAAACCAGCAAACATACAAGCCTATTTGTGTTTAGAGAACATTTTTGCTTGAATGTGAAAATCCATGATAGAATTTGAAAGAGAAAGCAAGTAGATATTAGATATGACTGCTCTTGCAGGTCAGAAAAAAATTGAAGAGCCCCATGTTTGACGCTAGCAACACAACTTGTTTGCAAGGAAAGGGGAGCTAACTGTATGTACATTTTCGTTAAGGGTTCTCCTGGATAGCGGATATGAATATGTACTTTGTTCTAGAGATCAGAAGAGAATTTGTAAAAGAGCAAGGAAATCTCTTTGTATAGGCTCTCCAGCTCTGAAGTTTGCCAGTTTGTATAGTTCAATCTATGTTTTATTCATGATATAACAAACATAACAGTAAGATGTAAACAGACAAAAAGTGTTAATAGATAAAACAGGATAGAACCCAACTGGGTTTTTAAAAAATGTTTAATTTTCATTTCAGTTTTCAAAGACCATTTAACTTTAACTGTTTTCTCTTTGGAATGGTTTACCTTAACAATTTTCTTCAGATATGGAATTTTTAGAGGTTTTGACAGAAGGTTTAAACAAAGTGCTTCTTGTACGTGGCGGTGGTAGAGAAGTGATCACAATTTACTCTTAAGTATCCAAGAAGAAATTAAAGCACACAAAATACGAAAAACAAAAAGTGAAAGACTGCAAACATTATTTTTCTACATACTTGAAATAGTATACCACATTTTGGTATATTTTTGGTTTAAATGTTCTTCTGAATTTCTCTATTTTATTATCAATCTAATAATTTCTTATAAATTTTACAGCATGTGGATAGGACAGAATGATCAGCATTATGTTTTAGAAAACTAAATAAATGTAAATACCATGGGGGAGTTTATCAAAACTGGAGCAGACAAAATCTGTAGCAGATGTGCTTGGCAACCAATCGGCTTCTCTCTACAGTTTGTTCAGTGAGGATTTGAACATGAAAAAGAGAGGCTGATTGGTTGCTATGCACAGCTGCTCCAGTTTCTTGATAAATGTTCCATGTGTTTCAAAATTCCTCCTACACTATAGAAACAGTATGCTTTATTCTAAATGATGTTGTATTCATTAACCTTAAAATCTTTACATTTAACACTTTGTATGAAAGTTTTCCATAGGTGCTCACAGGGTGTCTGAGACTCCTTAAAGTGACACTAAACTCAGGAGTTAAATCTTAAAAATGAATTCAAGTACCCTAACTAGTAACAAAAATGTTTCTCATCTGTGTATCACTCGGCTGTAGATCCTCAAATATCTCTGAATCTCTAAATTCACAGTGACACTATCCTTCCTTCTGGAGGGGGGCTACTTTTTGTTCTCCATGGTCCCTGTGTGTGTTGTAAAGTAGCCACCGCTCCAAGCTCGCACCAGTGATGGACTACAATCTCAATACAAATTAGTATACTAAACATGAGATTAAAGTCCATCACAGGAGTGAGCTTAGAGCGGTGGCTACTTTACAACACACACACACACAGGAACCATGGGGACACAAAAGTAGTCGCCTTCCAGAAGGAAGGACAGAGTTGCCGCAAATTCAGAGATGATTTGAAGATCTACAGCCGAGTGATTCACAAATAGGATACATTTATAAATGTTTTTTATTCATTTCCAAAACTGGAGCAGACAAAATCTGGAGCAGCTGTGCATGGCAATCAATCAACTTTTCGCTTTCATTTTCAAATCCTCACTGAACAAACTGAAGAGAGAAGCTGATCGTTTGCCATGGGCAACTGCTCCAGATACTGTCTGCTCCAGTTTTTATAAATGCCCCCCATTATGTTAATAGTTAGGGTACTTGAATGCATTTTGAGGCTTTAACTCTTGAGTTTAGTGTCACTTTAAGTCTGTAACTGATTTTAGTGCTTTTTAAAAACACTGCATTCATGTTTGGTATAGGGTACATTTAACACCCGCTATGTACATTGATGCTCAGCTTGTAGTCAATGCAGGTTGATGTATAGCATTTCATTAAACTGCAAACCACACCTTCCATTTATTTGACAAGCCCATTGTCTTGGAGCATATAAACCTTATAATCTTAGAACTAGATCTTGCTTACACAAGTTCCTACATTACAAACTTATCTCGATACACTATGTCCAGTTTGTGCGTCTACCCTGTTTCCCTGAATATAAGACCTACCCCGAAAATAAGACCTAGTACTATTTTTGGGCATTGCTAAAATATAAGACCTACCCCGAAAATAAGACCTAGTTGTGACCATTCCCGCGGCCGGTGGTGGCATAAGGGGGAACTTGAAGAGCCGCGGGAGAGAATCAGTGGTGCCAATGCAGCCAGCACTAGAGGAAGCGAGGCGGCAGCGGAGGGAACAGAGCTGCATAAGCCGATGCCTCCTCTATAGCGCCGACTCCTGTCACTGGCGGAGTGATACCAAATGCACTCCGCCTGTGAGGAATCTAAAGTGAAAGCGCGATTTGCTCATTCTGGCCAGCGATTGGTTAGCAAATAGCTCTTGGAAAGGTACGGCACCCCTGATTGCCCTGATTACCGTATTTGTGTACATGAATAGATGTAGACTTTTCTACATGAATAAGTGTGGATTGTTGTACATTAAAAAAAAAATAAGACCTAGTCCTAGTGTGTCTTATATTTTTTTTGGCTCACAAAAACAGTGTCTTATTTTCGGGGACACACGGTATCTCTACTCCTGCTGCTAGCATGTTGACAAAACATGGCAGAAGGCTGCTCTAATCCTATTACATCTAAACAATAAAGTGTGATATTAGTTTTTTCAACAGCAATTTTGGGTTTGTTGAGGGTGATAACAAATGTCAAAATCAGAGGCACTTTACATATCAGTTTTACATGTTGTTGGTATATGTCCCTTTTGAGCAGAGCATGATTTTTATCATGGCATATTAACACAATAATTTATTGGTGATGCCCGTCATGCATTTCAGACTTCTACAGGGTGAGACTACCCTCCTGTATTTGCTGGGCCCATTGCCCCTACCCTGCCCTCCACGCACGCACACCCACTGTGTAGGCATTTAGAACATGGATAAAATAGCGCACCAGTAGCACTGATCCTGTGCCCATGTGGACAACTTCTGCATTTGCAAAGCAATTGTAATGTGCAATCACAGCAAGCTATAGCAAACAATAATAAATCATGTCTTGTCTGATCTGCAGATTAGTTTACTGTAGTCACAAGTCCCTAACCACATTGCAGCTGCTGAATACCTTATGCTGAATATGCCTGATGACCTCGAGAAAAGTAACTTACTGTTGACTTTAATTTCAAACAAGCATTAATTTGTTTACTTGGGAGTACAGCTTTTATTCTTAAAGATAAAGTCTTTGGTTTAGAAGTGCAGGATTTCTGATTTCCCCTTAACCTTTATATTGATTGTTTCATAATATTTATTGTCTCCTAGTTATGTTATTACTGTCTGCATTCTCTGTACAAACTTCTTTGACTGTTGTATGCTCAGTATTGCTCAGTAAACTAAGACAAATATTATTTATTAATTGGTGAATGTGACGTTCGACAAACACTCATTGCAGGTAAATCAATCACTGTAATTTAAAACACACGCACCAGGGGGATTCAATTGAAGTGAATGCTTGTGAATGTCATATTCACTGCTTAATAAAATGCATTTATATTGATGTAAGATAAAATTGTTTGTTTAATGCAAGTTTTATGTCTTTTTTGTGGTAATAACACTAGAAGGTCATTTTCAAACAGTATGATGTAGCTACTCTTTGATAAAACATTTATGCATTGCAATAATGCATAATCCGCAGTGCAGTGTTTTTTCACTGGTATTCATTTTTGACATGTTAGACCCCTTTCACATGGGCACCTTCAGTTCCAATCGGCAGGGGATCCATGTACAGATCTCCTGCTGATCGGAAAAGATGTCACTGATGTGACACTGTTGGAGGAAAAAACTGAAATTACCGGACCCATGTTTTTCTATAGGGAATCGGATGTAAATGGACTTGTGTTTACATAAGATGACACCTGATCCGCTGAAATGGAACTCTGATCCGTTTGATTTTCCGGGCCCGGCTAGGGTAATTAGATGTAGACAGATGCATTTCTATTTAGATCTAACTGCCCATAGACCCATGTACATCACCAATTTTCATTTTTGAAATTGTGATCAAAATTTTTCGATTGGCCTGTTTGGAAATGTTTTTCGTGGACCGAACGAAAATCAATGAATCAGTGGGGTTTTCCTTCTTCAAGTACACAGCACATGCGCAAAATCAAATGAGTTCTGTCATTCGTCAAAAGTTGGTTGGTTGGTATGGCTAATGGACGATTTCCGAAATCGACATTTGACAATGCTTGATGGGGTATTCGAGCTATAATCAAATGTTCGTGGCAGGAACTGAAATTTCCGACCAAAAAACAACTAGTGTATGGCCACCTTAACACTGGCCTTCTAATCAGATCGGCCTGAAAAACCAACAGGCGGACCTGATTGGAATGGGGCCTAAAGGTGGCCATACACTTTACAACCATCGCAAGACCTTAGTCTTGCGATGGTTGTAAAGTACTTAAAAAAACGTACGATCTGCCCATCTTGGACAGGCAGATCGTACACTCGATCATCGCAAGCCCGCCCCCCTGAGGGGCGGGCTTACGATGACTGTAATGAGGGTTCGGCAGTTGTCGAGCAGTTGTCGAACCAGCAGGCCATTAACTCGCCGAGAATCGTACGATTCCCGGCGGGTTTTCTAGCATGCTCGTTCGATCGAAGACGTGCGACTGTACAGTAGACGCACGCCTTCCATACACTGCACGATTCTCGTACGATCGCGGGATTTCCCGTGATTCTGTGTTTTTTTTTTTTTTTTTTTTTTTTGTGACCGTTATTTTCAGCTGAGGCCAATGAGATTGACAATTATAGCCACGTAGCTAAAATAACGATACGTTCCAGGTGTTATCGCTTTGTGAATTAAGCCTAAAGTATGAATGGACCAAAAGGGATCGAAGTGTTATGCCAATGATTATGTCATTGTATATATTATAGCACAACTTGTTTTTGATACAGTCCTGTATATTTGTTTAATGAATCTGGGGACACCACTGAAGTTTAATTGGGGAAAATCACCAGTTGGAGACCTAAACCTATTTATATAATTCTGAAAAGAGTGGTTGTAATGTATTTAGCACCTGTTCATAGCAAATCATGTAATAATCACCAGCTGCTTAGTTTCCCTAGTAACACCATCATATTCTATTTTTACATACAGATAATGATGTTTCATTATTTATATTGCAGGTATTGCCAGTGCTTTTGCATATCCTACTATCGTACTGTACCAAGTACATACCCTCCTTGTCTGACAAGAATGTTGTTCTTATAAGAGGCAGTAATGTATTCATTGTATGAAGCAAGGAACACATTAATAGCTTTTTGCACACATAAAGCCCAGTTGTAGTTCTGCAAACAAATGTACAAATAAAGTCAGGGTAGATCGAACCAGTAAGTGTTAAAAGTCTTATGGTTTCTTTGTCAAAGGCTGTTCCAGTAGAAAAGTCTATGCCCCACAGGAGGATTCAGTGGAAGACCGCTGCAGTGTGAGAGTGGCAGGCTCTTTACAGTGGTTTATCTGCACACTTCTGCTGGAACAGCCTTGGAATAAGAAACTACAATAATACAATTAAAGTGAAATTTTTTAACATAAAGCAATACTGTAATGTGCGCCTTACTGTAATCCATGGTTGTTTCCCTTCTCTTTGC